ACAGGAAACTTGCCAATTTGGGAATAAAGAAAACCCCAAGAAGGATAAACGTAAAAAATCCTCTGTCAAGACACATCATATACAAACTGCTAACATCAAAGATAAAGAGAAAAGATAAAGGTTAAAGAGAGAGTCTTAATGCAGCCATAGAAAAAGATACAGGGTACAATGATGCAAATTACGGCTGACTTCTCATCAGAAACAATGGTGGCCAGAAGATAATGGAAGAGCTTCCTTAAAGTGCTCAAAGAAAAAATCTTATCAATTCAGAATTTTATTTCTAGAGAAAGTATTCTTCCAAAAGGAAAGTGAAATAACATTTTTGCGGAAAGAAAAACTGAGATAGCTCACTGCCAGTAGAACTGCACTAAAACAAATACTAAAGGAAGTACCTCAGGCTGAAGAGAAATGACAGATGGAAACTAGATCTAGAGGAAAAAATGGGCAGGTGCAGTGGCTCGCACCTGTAATCTCAGTGCTTTAGGAGGCCAGGAGATTGAGATCAGCTTGGGCCATACGTAAAGACTGTGTCTCTTAAGAAAAAAAGAATGAAAAGCACAGAAAATGGTGAATATTCAGGTAAATTTTTTTTTAGTATTTTAAAGGCATGAAAAAATAACATTATCTTATGGAATTTACACCATATATAGAAATAAAATATGTGACACAGTAGCCACAAAAGGAGAGTAAAAGGAAGTATATTATTGTAAAATATGCATAACAATATATAAATGCATACAATTCATATGAAATGGTACAATATTTTACATGGAGTAAGTTAAGTGAGCATATTGTAAATCTAGAGAAAAGCCAATGGAAGAAATTAAATGGAACACTAAAACATACTCAAGTAATCCAAAAATAGAAAGGAGGCAAACAGGAACCAAAAACAAATTGTGGAAGCCAGTTGGGAAGAAGGGGGACTTAATTTCAATTTCAAAATAGAAACTCCAAGAGATCATCACTTTCACCCTAAAACAAGCTGAATAAAAACCCATCAGAGACTGAGGACTTGGGGAAATCTAAATCAACTCCAAAGAGTGAGAAGTGCATTTTAAAAGAGAAAAGATCCTCAGCTGCTATCATCCCTGACTGAAATAGAGGTGGGAAGAGAAATCTGCCACAGACAAGGGTTAAAGAGAAACCATATGTGGACATACTCCTGTAGAACCCAGAGGATCCGTAGGTACAAAAAGACTGTACTATTAATAAATCCCTCTGCTCGACAGACACACACACACACACACACACACACACACACACACACACTCTGTCCCACCAACCTTTACCAAAAATGAGGGCAAGAAAAGAGAGCAAGAGCTGAAATAATCTCCTCAGTGTTCTCTAGGCTTCCAGCAAGAAAAAACCTGGAGAACAGGCGATAACAGAAAAAGCCAAGAGAAACTTCTCGGGGGCAAGACCCACCTTCACAGAGTACAGGGCAATGATAGTCAACCTTTACAGGCCGAGGATGGAGCAGTAGGGCTGAAAGAGCTCTCAAGGCACAGAAAGCCAGGAGCCAAACTGGAGAGCAAAGAGAAGTCCTCAGCAACTGACCCTGCTGGCAGCAGGTCTTTAAAGCAGGAAGATACCTCCTATAATTCAAAAAGATTTGGAATAGCCCATAAATATATGAGAAGGTGCTAAACAACATTAGTCAAGAGAGACACACGCAAATTAAATAAAATTTTTAAAAAATGCAATATTACTTCACACCCACTATGATGGCTAAAAAAACAAACAAACAGACAACACCAAATGTTGGCATGAATGTGGAGTAACTGCACCTCTCACTTATCACTGGGAGAACAGGGTAAAATGGCATAACCACTTTGAAAACTAATGGGCAAATTTTAAATACTGGATATAAAATTATATTCAAAAGCCTTTCAATAACAACAAAGAAACACGGTAAAATGTTAAGTCTATTAAGAGAATATAACATGTGACAAATCTGCATATAATGGCATGGACTATGGAGAGGGGGCTTACCAACAAGGTATCAACTGGTACCTACTGTAATCAAATAGGGACAACGTCACAGTCCCTCACGTGTCTTTCCCACATTTAGAATACTCGCCCATAGTATGCCTCCAAACATAATCCAACATTTAAGGGATGTATACTTAGCCCCTTACATACTTAAATCATACCGGCTGAAATCACCTCATGAGATGTATAAAGTGAATCAAATCATTAGTAAGGCCTAGTTCACTGCTACTCATGGTGATCAAGAAAGAATAAAGCCTATATACATGCCTCAATCAAAAGTTCCTATCCAAAATGTATTAACTATTAATGTATATAATTTTATTCAAAACAAGCAAAAGCAAACACAAATAGAAACCAAGCTAGGAAAATAAAATCACAAGTATATGCCTCAAATTTACTGTGTAACAGGTGAAATATAAATAAATTATATGGAAGTAGTAATGAAACATATACCCTTCACAGGTTATTAGGAAGCAGTCAGTGATATTAGAAGTAAACCCTTAACCTCTAAGAATATATAACGGAAGGAAATGACCATATTCCACCACATCATGTTTTTATATTACAGGAAAAGAACATTACAACACACAGAATGGTTTATCACTGAGGGGTTTTTTGTGGGGGGGTAGGGACAGAGTCTTACTCAGTTGTCGAGGCTGGAATGCAATACTGTAATCAGAGTTCACCGCAGCCTTGATCTCCTGGGCTCAAGTGACTCTCCTGCCTCAGCCTCCCAAGTAGTTAGGACTAAGGCATGTGTCACCACATGTGGCTAATTTTTCTTTTTATTGTTGGTTTTTAATAGAGATAAGGCATCGCTATGTTACCCTGGCTAGTCTCTAACTCCTGGCTTCAAGTGATCCTCTTGCCTCAGCTTCCCAAAGTGGTGGGATTATAGATATGAACTACCAAGCCCAGCAAAATGTATTTTTTGCATATTCTTTAAATGTATGTTAAAAAAAGTTCATAAATACAGCATTATATTCATGCATCTTGGTTGTATATCTTATATAAGTTTCATGTATGAAAATGTTAGGAAAATGTAAAGTATTGTCTTTACTGATACGTTTTCTAGGCAATCTTCAAAAGAGTATCTCATTTTCTGGGTATCTGAATGTACAAACTTGTTGAAAGCTAGAATGATGAAACACCTTTGGCCTGATGATATACAGTAAACTCAAAGGAAAGAACATATTCCTATTTTGTGTCAAGAATTTTTATATTAACTTTAGTTAGAAAAAGTAAGACATTCATTACATGAGGGTAAAAAAAATATTTTTTAAAACACAGTCACTGCTGACCAGTGCCATTTTTTTTGTTTTTGAGGCAGAGTCTCACTCTGTCACCAGAATGGAGTGCAGCAGTGCGATCTCGGCTCACTGCAACCTCCGCCTCCAAGGTTCAAGCAGTTCTCCTGCCTCAGCCTCCTGAGTAGTTGAGACTACAGGTGCATACCACCACACCTGGCTAATTTTTGTATTTTTAGTAGAGATGGGGTTTCATCATGTTAGCCAGGCTGGTCTCAAACTCCTGACCACAAATGATCCACCCACCTCGGCCTCCCAAAGTGCTGGGATTACAGGTGTAAACCACTGCACCTGGCCTGACTGGTGCCATTTTTATACACAGTATTTAATCTATATATTAAGGCCAGAATATAAAGTCTAAAAATTAATCTGTTAGTTTAATTTAAAAATTTCTGTATTTGAAAAACTTTGCAGAAAGTATTTGTACAATCACAAAGAAATATCATAGACTTTTTTTTCATGGGTTTAACATGCATAGTTTTTAACATTCTCATGTAACCCTGAAGTTCTATGACAGGTAGTAATTTGTAATTCTGTTTGAGTCACGTATTTCACTTAGAGACACTAAAAGCCTGGTTGGTGTTCCTGAAAGAGTAAATATAATATCAGACAAATTAACATCTGTATCTTTGTCTGTTCATTCTTGAATACACAGTAACTTTAATATAATCCCTGAAGCAACCATTTTTTATTTTTTAATTATCTATCATCTTTTTTAATATGGGAAATCATATATGACAGTGGAATTTGTGACTATGTGGATTCACAAAGCAAGGTCTCTGGATGCTCCTCCCAGGAAATCAAAGGGTTTAATGGTGGCTGTCAGTAAAATGCAAGACTTTAGGACTATCTATAAAGTACATCATAATCTACTTACATGTTCAGCAGGCAGAACTGACAATTCTAAATTTAAATGGTTCTACTAAACTTCAGCATGAATCCTTTTAAAATCAAAGTTAATGTACATTAGGTCAGGTGTGGTGGCTCACACCTGTAATCTCAGCACTTTGGGAGGCCGAGGCAGGCAGATCACTTGAGATCAGGAGTTTGAGACCAGCCTGGCCAACATAGCAAAACCCTGTCTCTACTAAAAATACAAAAATTAGCTGGGTGTGGTGTCACCCGCCTGTAGTCCCAGCTACTCAGGAGGCTGAGGCATAAGAATCGCTTGAACCCAGGAGATGGGGGCTGCAGTGAGCCGAGATCACACCACTACACTCCAGCCTGGGCAAAAGAGCAAGACTCTGTTTTAAAAAAAAAAAAGAAAAAAAAAGTTAATGTACATTAGCTACCTCACTGGAGAATGAGAAAGAAAACATTGTAAATATCTGACTTTTAGATAGTAAAATAATTATATCATGCAAAACTCACCTAAATTCTCTAATGTGAAATTCAGAACCGAAGCAGCTCTTTGTACAAATATTTTGCCAGAGCAGCAATTCAAAGCAATATTGATCGCAATGCACAAGTGTAGTAATTGTAGGCCTATCTAAAACATAAATGTTACCTTCTTTCATTTGCATCAGAAAAAACTCTTAGTAATATTTCACCAACATTCCTTCATTTCATCTTCAAACAAATGAACAATCAACTACTTACAAATACATCTACAGCCCACTGCCTAGACATACAGTGAGAAACATACATAAATATAGACTAATAATAAATAAAAAACTATTGTGTGCTATAGATTATGATTACCTGGAGGTAGGAATTGCAGCTGGTTATTAGCTAATCGAAGATGACGTAAAGCTCTCAGACGACCAATTTCTGGGCAAACTATTTCTAAGGCATTGTCACTAAGATCCAGACATTGGAGTTTTACAAGGGACCCAATGGCTTCAAAGAGAAAAGGAGAAGGCAAAATGAATTTGACTCAAGTATTACATCAAATCTTTAATGCAAGTATTTCAAGTTAAAATATTTCACTACTTAACAGCTTTGTATCAGCTGCTCACAAAACAGTAAAAACACAGGTCAAACTAAGTTTATAAAAGTGATAAATACTTCCACCTCAAGATAAAATATAACTTAAAATACAGCACAAATAAAAACATTAAAACTAAAATAATTCAAGAAATGATACACAGGAACTTTTTTATCTGACCAGAATTCTGAACTGGATTTATTAAATTTAGAATTTACGTTATTATATACATAATAGAAATGTGTCGAATAATAGTATACCTAACCATAACCATTTTAGACTTATTTAACTACAGTTCTTAAATGAACTTAATAGAAAAAACAGTTTTAAAACTAATAAATTAAGGGTGTCTTAAAATTAAAATTTGTTCTATTATAAAGCAAAGCTTAAATTATATTATCTTCTACCTAAAAATTCTAAGTAAACGTACCTTCTGGTACCACAACTATGTTATTTGAGTGCAGGTATCTAGGAAGGAAGAAGAAAAAAGACGGCCTTTATCATTAGATACTCTTGCCAGATCAGTTTGTAAAATGCTCACTTAGAAATTTATCAAATATAAATAGGCCACGACTTTCACACCCTACTCTAATGCATCAGCGTACAATACGTGGCTATCACAGCAAACTAATAATACTTTGAGAATAATATTTTGTATCAGAATTGCAAATATTAAATATATTTACTGATTTATTTATTTTAAAATAAAAGCATACATAATGAATAAACTATAAGGTTTTTTTTAACTTTGTAACACAAACTACTAGTTTTTCCAGTTCATTTTCTTCAGGTTTTTAAAAATATACTTGTTGTGTGAAGAAAAATCAACATCTATTGTGTAAAGGAAAATGAACTTTTCATTTCTATAAAATAACTTCACAAAATAAGATATTTCTAGCTAGCACGCATACAGAGAACTAACAACGGAGAGATTAAACACTCATCATTTACAGTGTCTGCAGAAATACTCAACTGTCAAGGTATAGAATTTATTTCATGGCAAAAGAAATTTTGTAACAAGAAATCAACTGGTTCTCTTAAAAATTTTCTTTTTCACAGAGGCTGAGAAGTCTAGCAAGCCTATGTAACACTTTTCCCACTACAATGTCTTCAGCACACTCTGGTGGAGACATCCTGCAATCAGTAACCCACTACTCAGAGCAAAACAAGTGACTGCTGGAGATCATACAGCAATAATTTAAGAAAATAATTTATATCATTGATTAAAAGACAAGAGAACTAGATTTTAGTAAACTTTATTTTCAAACCTATGGTTTTATTTACTGTATTTTAAAAATAAATCTTTATAATTTTAAAATAGAATTTAGTTTTCTTCTACATTCTTAAAAATCTAATATTGAATGTTAAAGTGTCAATAAACACAAAATAAGAAAGAAAATTACTCATTTCATAAAGATTATTTTATGTTGAATTAAATCAATTTTGTAGAAGGTTAACTAACCTGATACGTATAACAATGTAAATAAGGCCACCATTTACTCTATGATATATTTCATTCCTTGCTCTGTGTATATGAAATGATTATATATTTTAAAATCAATACTCTTTAAACATTAATTTTAGGAAGGAATGCCCAAATCAAAACAGAAAATTGGTTTAAAAATTTTTTTCAACAAAATACTTGCCTCCATTCAGGTTCTAGCTATAAAAAAAGACCTTAAAATGTCCAAATCAAAATATGAAGTAAAGTACCCACTATTATCATCAGAATTTTTCAAACAGACTTTAAAACATTAAACTTATCTACATATAATGAAGATGCTGTATGAAAGAGTACACAGTGGCTGCCCACTGAGGCTGCCAAGGAAGCATCGTTAAAGTCTGTCCTCCCACTGCCATCATGTCTATGTCGGTCTCCTGAAGAGCCCAAACAGCTACAGAAGCTTTTTACTGGAGGCCTGAGCTTTGAAACAACTGATGAGAGCCTGAGGAGCCATTCTGAGCAATGGGGAACGCTCACAGACTGTGTGATCATGAGAGATCGCAACACCAAGGGCACCAGGGGCTTTGGGCTTGTTGCTGTGCCACTGTGGAGGAGGTGGAAGCAGCCATGAATGCAAGGCCACACAGGTGAATGGAAGAGGTGTGGAATCAAAGACAGCTGTCTCAAGAGAAGATTCTCAAAGACCAGGTACCCACTTAACTGTGCAGAAGATATTTGCTGGTGACATTAAAGAAGACACTAAAGAACATCACCTAAGAGATTATTTTGAACTGCATGGGAAAACTGAAGTGATGGAGATCATGACTGATCGAGGCAGTGGCAAGAAAAGGGGATTTGACTGTGTAACCTTTGATGACCATGACTCTGTGGATAAAACTGTCATTCGGAAATACTGTAATGTGAATGGCCACAACTGTGAAGTTAGGAAAGCCCTATCAAAGCGAGAGATGCCCAATGCTTCATCCAGCCACCAGGTCGAAGTGGTTCTGGAAATTTTGGTGGTGTTTGTGGAGGTGGTTTTGATGGGAATGACAACTTTGTTCCTGGTGGAAACTTCAGCAGTCATGGTAGCTTTGGTGGCAGCCATGGTGACAGTGGATATGGTGGCAGTGGGGATGGCTACAATGGATTTGGTAATGATAGAAGCAATTCTGGATGTGGTGGAAGCTACGATGATTTTGACAGTTACAACAGTCTTCAGATTTTAAACCCATGAAGGGAGAAAACTTTGGTGGCAGAAGCTCTGGCTCCTATGGTGGTAGACGCCAATACTTTACCAAATTATGAAATCAAAGTGACTATGCCAGTTCCAGCAGCAGCAGTAGCTATGGCAGTGTCAGATGATTTTAATTACTGCCAGGAAACAAAGCTTAGCAGGAGAGGAGAGCCAGAGAAGTGGCAGGGTAGCTACAGGTTACAACAGTTTTGTGAACTCAGCCAAGCACAGTGGTGGCAGGGCCTAGCTGCTACAAAGAAGACATGTTTTAGACAAACACTCACGTATGTGGGCAAAAAGTTTGAGGACTGTATTTGTGACTAATTGTGTAACAGGTTATTTTAGTTTCTGTTCTGTGCAAAGTGTAAAGCATTCCAACAAAGGGTTTAATGTAGATTTTTTTTTGCACCCATGCTGATTGCTTAATGTGGTAGTCTCATCATGACACTGAATAAATGTGTCTTTAAAAAAATAGTACAGTGTTGCCAATCCTAACTCCACATTAGAATCACCCGGGGTCTTATTGGTGCCCAAGATCATCCTGTAGCAAGTGAAACATCTTCTTAACTCAAATAATCCTCATGTACAACCAATTAGGAACCATTACTGGTTCAGGGGATCAGACAGCAGGCTCTGAAGCCACACCGCCTGTACCCTAATAGCCATGTGACTATGGAGAAATTACTGAACTGCTCTCTCCCCTAATCTATGATGTTATAGGGACTAAATGAATTAATAAATGTAAAACTCTTAGAATTCTGCTTGGCTCCTAGTAAGAGTTAAGTAAGTGTACTTGCTATTGTTATTATAGTTATTACGAGTCATTTGTAATCATAGGCATAGGACTTGCAAATGTAAGTCACTTCCCTTTACTTAATTTTGGTAATTTCAGAGTAATTGAAATGTTGACGTTTCAATGTTTTTATTATGTTCCTCTTCTACTCAAATAATGCAGGACTGTCATTCATTGTTTGTGGGAATGCCACTTTGGGGTATACCCACTTTGGAAAATGGCTTGGCAGCTTTTTAAAATAATGTTAAATATAGATGTTTACTTAATAGGAATATTCCAAAGTCAGGTCCTTAGTTTTGACAAAGGTACCATGGAATTCTAAGATGCTAATAACAGGACACACTGGGTAAGGTGTATACCAGAATGCTCTGTACTATGTATAAACAAAGTATATTTACTTTTCTGTAAATATAAAATTGTTCCTAAATAAAAAAGCTATTTTAAAAAAATTTTAATTAAAGGAACAAGACTTTTACTTTCAGTGAGGATGAATAACAGCAATGGAGTAAACAAAGATTTACCCAACTGTTATAAAGAACAAAAAACCAGATGAAATACTGTCCTGTGCCACTTAATGGCTGGGATGTAGGCTAAAAAATGTGTCATTATGTGATTTCCTTGTTGTGCAAACATCATGTGTGTTCTTACACAAACCTAGATGGTATAGCCTACTACACACCTAGGTTATAAGGTGTAGTCTACTGCTCTTAGGCTGCAAATCTGGACAGCATGTTACTGTACATGTACATGTAACAGGTATCGTACATGTTACAACTGTAACACAATCAGACAACTGATACAAAATGTATTTGTGCATCTAAACACGTAAACATAGAAAAGGAATAGTAAAAACACAGTATTATAACCTTACGGGACCATCATTATACATGTGGTCTGTCGCTGACCAAAACATCATTATGCTGTGCATGACTGTACGCGAAACAATTATTTTCAGACATTAACGAAGGCAACTAGGACTACATTCCCTAAGAGAAAGGAACTAAGCTACATAATCTCCCTAGCTTTCTTCTTAGAGACAAATTCTGAACTGCAGAACAGGAAGGAGATCCCAAAGTACAGAAGTCTCACTGAGTTATGGAGACATATATCAGAGTTCAGGGAACCTGAGGCAACTGGAAGTTGTCGGGTAAAGTTCTGAAGAAGAGAGAACTACTACTACTACTACAACAACAACAAAAAAAATCCCTCCAAAAATTTAAATAAGGAGTCCCTCGGCCTTATTCATAGCTGAATTCTAAAACAAACACACATAAGAGAAACTCCAGCAGGGTGCAGTGGGTCATACCTATAACCCCAGATACTTGGGAGGCTAAAGCAGGAGGATCACTTGAGGCAAAGAATTCAAGACCAGCCTGAGCAATATAATGAGACCCCCATCTCAAAAAATAATAGAAGAAAAATAAGAGGAACTCCAGGCAAAAAGCAGCTGAAAATCAATCAACTAAATAGTCTGCAAAGCTCACACAGGGTTGAGAGACATTTAAGTTCTCAGCAAGTGTGCCAAATCCTTGTTAATCATTTGAGGTATTCAAGAGAGATCCCAGAAAGTTAACAAAGCATAAAAATAAGGAATAAAAGGATCAAAATAAACTGCAAATAACTGCATGCCAGAAAATAAATGGAGACAATAAAATTTAGACTCTCAAAAATGCAAAATTTACAAGGTCCATCATCCAATCAAAAAGTATTAGGTATGCCAAGAATCAGGGAAACATGACCCATAACCAGGAAGAAAACCAGGCAGTACAAATAGAACCAGTATGACACAGATGACAGAATTAGCAAACAGGACATTAAAATAGCTATAATAACTCTATTCAGCTATTTAAATGAAAATATGAACATTGTAAGAACCATAAGATATAAAGAAGAACAAATAGAACTTCCAAAGATCATAAATAAATTAACAGGCTGGGCACAGTGGATCACTCCTATAATCCCAGAGCTTTGGGAGGCTTAGGCAGGAGGACCACTTGAGCCCAGGAGTTTGAGGTTACAGTGAGCCATGATTGCATCACTGCATTCCAGTGTGGCTCCTGGGTGACAGTGTAAGACCCTGACTCAAACACACACACACACACACACACACACACACACCCAGCCTGGGCAACATAGCAAGACCTCATGCCTATGAAAAAAATTTTAAATTTTAGCTGGGCATAGTGGTGCATGCCTGTAGTTCTAGCTATTTGGGAGGCTGAGATGGGAGGATCCTTTGAGCCCAGGAGTTCAAGGCTGCAGTGAGCTATGATACTGCCACTGCACTGCAGCCTAGGTGACAGAGCAACACCCCGTGTCTTAAAATTAAAAAAAAAAATCAATAACCAAAGAGAAAACTCAACTGAGTGGGATTAGTATAGTACATTCGATGTTGAAGAAGAAAATACTACTGTTAACACTGAGAATACGATTTGTCCAAACTGAAACACATAGGTAATAAAAGACTGAAAAGGATATGAAGAGTCTTAGTGACTTCAGGGCAGTATTAAACAGTCTAACAAACATGTAAAAGTTCCATAAGCAAGGGCCAGGAACAGGGCATATAAATAAATATCTGGGCCAGGCACGGCGGCTCACGCCTGTAATCCCAGCATTTTGGGAGGCTGAGGCAGGTGGATCACGAGTTCAAGAACCAAACCCCATCTCTACTAAAAAATATAAAAATTAGCTGGACATAGTGGCTCATGCCTGCAATCCCAGCTATTTGGGAGGCTGAGGTAGGAGAATTGCTTGAACCAGGACCCGGGAGGCAGAGGTTGCAGTGAGCAGAGGTTGTGCCACTGAACTCCAGCCTGGGCTACAGAGCAAGACTCCATCAAATAAACAAACAATGTCAACAGTTTTCCAAATTTGATGAACTGTGAAGACACAACCCCAAGAAGCTCAATGAACCTCAAAGGCAAGAAAGTGGAAAACCACAAGATACATTTAAATAAAATCCCTTAAAACTAGTGTAAAAATGAAAACCCTTCAAAGTAGCCCCAGGGAAAAAAGACACATTACAGACAAAGGAATGAATGTAAGAACTGTAGATGTTTCTTCAGAAACTACGCAAGCCAGGGAGTAATGAATATCATGGAAGTGTTGATAGGAAAAGAAACTGGTCACTAAGAATTCTAATCCCAGGGAAAAAAAATTAAAAATAGAGATAAATGTGCAATTTAAAACTGTAAGACTTTTAGAGGGGAAAAAAGAAAAATAGGAGAAAGTATCTGGGACCTACGGCTAGACAGAGAGTTTTTAGACTTGCCATTAAAAGCAGGACACATAAAATTAAAAAAAAATGATAAACTAGACCTCATCAAAATATAAAACTTTTGCTCTGCAAAAGAACATAAAGAGGATAAAAAGACAAGCTATACACTGTGAGAAAATATTTGTAAACAACATACAAAACAGAAAACTAGTTTATAAAGAACTCTTAAAACTGAGAAGTAAATATATAATCAGAACATGAGCAATAGACATGGACAACTTACCAAAGAAAATATGCAGATGACAAGTATATGAAGAGATGTTCAATATCATTAGTCATCATAGAAATGCAAATGAAAATTACAATGTAATAAAAACCACACATCCATCTATCAAAATGATCAAGACAACAAAGACAACACCAAATACTGGTAAGATATGCAGACACCAGAACATCACACATTGCCAGGGGAAATGTAAAATGGGATGGCTAATCTGGTAAATCGGCAGTTTTTTACAAAACTAAAAATTCTGAGCAAAAGTGGTAGAGTAAGAACCTCCAAAAATTATCTTCCATAAAAACAATGAGAAACTGTCAGAAATGTCCAAATGCTACATGTTCAGAACTCTGGAAATGAAGCAAAGGCTTGCAGTAATACAGGGAGCATTTACTCAACGAAAAAAAAATGACTGAAGGTCAGTAACAGTGCGTTGTAGGCCTCATGGCATTTTCACTTGCTCTAGTCTTAACCCCTCTCTCCTGCTGTGCAGAAACCCGAAATACCAACAGCCCACTATCAAGGAGAAAAGCAGTAGCAAGGGGGTAGGACCACGTTAGAGTGCTTTCAACTTCATTCTCAGAGAATGGCCAAAGATTTGTTTCATGGTTCCCTGCATGAACCTGCAAGCCTTCCCACTTGCAAGGCTGTCTTTATTCAATCTAACTGGGAGATTGCCCAGTGCAAAAACCACTGTAAACTGAAACAAATTACAGGCAATTGTTTAACTTCACAGCTGCCTGAAAACAGTTGGAACCAACAACTGACAAACCAGAAACTGTAAAAGGAAAAGCTTTCAAAATGTGGAAACAACCCAAATGTCCATCAAATGATAAACAGATAAACCAGAAGTCATATATCTATTCAATGGAATATTATTCAGCCATAAACAAGGAATGGATTCTGATACCTGCTACAACGTGAATAAACTCTGAAAACATTATGTTAATGCAGATAGACACAAAAGGCTATATATTCCATTTATATAAAATATTCCATTTATAGAAAACATCCAGAAATAGACATATCCATAGAGACAGAAAATAGATTAGTGATTACCCAGGATTAGGGGAAAGTGTATACTTTCTCTTGCTCTTTGGTTTGCTTGCTGATGGAAGCCAGTTGCTATTTGGTGAACTATCCTGTAGAAAGGCCAAGTGGCAAGGAACAGAGGAAGTACTCTAGCCAATAGCAAGCAAGAAATGGAGTCCTTCAGTTCAACAGCCTACAAGGAATTGAACCTGCCAACAACCACATGAATGAACATAGAAGAAGATCCTTCTTCAGTTGAGTCTTCAGATGAGACTACAGTCCTGGCCAACAACCTTGACTGCAGCTTTATATAAGACCTGGAGGCAAAGCCACCCAGCTAAGTCAGGCCCAGATTCTGAGGCCTCAGAACATATAAGATATTGAATGTTTATTCTTTTAAATCGCTACATTTGGGGTTAAGTTGTTAAGGAGCAATAGATAATCAACAAAGATGAATATCTGCTTAACACAATAGACTACAGATACCTTAACTGTAAAGCCAGCATCTTTCTTAATGGGCATTCCCAGATGGTCAGAAAGAAGACAAGGATGCCCATTTTCTCCAGGATACTTTCACATATTCTGGAGGAACTAGCCAATGCAATAAGACTAGAGAAAGTAATTAAAGGGATAACAGTTGGAAAAGAAAAAGTAACACTATCTGTATTTTCCAACGTAAGAGTATATCATGAAAACTAATTCAAACAATAGATTTCAGCAAAATAGCCAGATATAAAGTTAACATGCAAAAATAAATATTGTTCATTTATACAAACATAACCAGTTAGAAGTTTAACACATGACAAAATTCATTTACAATAGTAAAAAAAAAAGACTGAATACTTAGTAATAGACTTTAGAAATTTTCAAAACCTAAAGAAAACTATAAAGTACCTAAGGGATGCAAAAGTAGACTAAAAAGATGGAAAGACATCCTTGTTCTTAGAAATACATACTTAAATATTTAGAGGCAAAGAAAAAGCCATGATGTATGTAACTAACTCTCAAAAACGTCAGAAAAAAATAAATACACATATACATATATACAAAAGAATGAAACCAAAAACTTGATAAAGCAAGTTTTGGGATCAAACACCACCAAAAATGTTTAAATGCAATCTAATCAAGAGGAAACCAGTAAATTCAGACATCTACTTTTAAAAGACATTATTTTTGAATACTAACATAATTTAAAGATGAACTGTGTATTAAATTATATTGAATTAATATTACTTTTCTTAGGTGTGAGAATGACATTATGTCTATAATTTACTTTCAAATCATTCCGCTTGGTGTGGGGGGGCGGGGGCAGAGGGAGACAAAACAGGTAGAAAAGGGAAAGAGAAAGCGAATGTGGAAAAATGTCAAAATTGGTTAAATTTAGGTGAAGGGTATACAGGTGTTCTTTCTATGTTTTCAACTTTCTTGTTAGTTTGAAATTTTTCAAAACAAAAGGATGGAACAAAGGAAATGATGGATGGGGGGTATAAGGCTAGCTTTCCTTCCTTGACCTCTTGAAAATCATGCCAAATAACAAAGAGCACAAGAAATAGCAATGCAAACCCTCCTGCAAAAAATGAGGAGGCAGCTAGGCAGAGAGAGAAATATATCTAAATGTGTCTTCCTGAATGGTAAGTTAACGGATAATTAACGCTGGTGCATTAAAAAACAAAGCTGTCAACATAGTATTCAGCATTTGGAGGTAATCGGAAAAAGAACTAAAACAAATGAAGTGTGGACGATGCAGAAAACAAGACTTACTGTGTATTTTAAACATTTTATACTATCTGTTTATATCAAGTATCACATGTAGTAGTAATAACAATAATAGATTCTCCCAATTACATAGACTAACAAGAAGGTTCTGTGACAGAATAAAAGACATTTCTCATCGTCTTCACTACAGAAGACACTGTACCCAGAGAAAAGGCATTTCTCATCATCTTCACTACCTTGAAGTGCAGTATTTAAAATACAATATTAAATGGTTAAATACTTTAAAATACTACTGGGTTTAGTAGAACCACAGGTCTACCTACATGAGTACCATGATCATGATACCAAAAAATAACAAATTAATACATTAAGATGACATATCCTAATATTTCAAATAACTTAGAATTATTGACATTCTTGTTTTTAAAAAATTTGAATAAACAGACTCACAGTTCCACAAGGTTTGGAAGCTTCTGAGCAAGGTTTTCTGGCTGAAAATTAAAAACTCAGAATTAAATTTTATTTTTGAAAAATGGCCAAACATTTCTAATTTGTTTAAACACAAAGTACTATCTTTTTGAGGGGTGTAAATTTTGAGAAATGTTAAAATAATTAATCAGCAGGTCTGGGTTTTACTCTTACAGAGACCATACTACAATTTAAATTTATAAATTCGAACACTTAAATATAATGTCCCTTAGAGCAGTGGTCCCCAACCTTTTTGGTTCCAGGGACTGGTTTCATGGAAGACAATTTTTCCACAGATGGGGTTGCGGTGGGGTGGCTTCGGGATGATTCAAGCACATTACATTTATTATGCACTTTATTTCTATTATTACATTGTAATACATAATGAAATAATTACACAACTCACCGTAATGAAGAATCAGTGGGAGCCCTGAGCTTGTTTTCCCGAAACTAGACAGTCCCATCTTGGGGTGATGGGAGACTGTGAGAGATTGTCAGGCATTAGATTCTCATAACGAGTGCACAACCTAGATCCCTCACATGTGCAGTTCACAACAGGGTTTGTGCTAAGAGAATTTAATGCTGCTGCTGATGGGACAGGAGGTGGCATTCAGGCAGTAATGAAAGGGACTAGGAGTGGCTACAGTTTGCCCACTACTCACCTCCTGCTGTGTGACCCCATTCTTAACCGGCACCAGGTCCGTGAACCAGGGATTGGGGACCCTGCCTTAGAGAAACCACAGACCTCATAATCCATTACCACGGAATGTGCTTCACAGACACACAGAGGGAAGAATACCATGTGCTGATGCAGCTAGAGACTGACGTGACACCTGAGGAGCCCTGAGAAGGAACCAACCCAAACCACACCTTGATTGTGAACTTTTTGCTTCAAGAACTGTGAGAGAATACACTTTGTTGTTTTAAGACACCCGGTTTTTGATAATTTGTCATGGCAGCCCTAAGAGACTGATATATACTCCAAACTCCTAAATAATGCTCCTCAAGAGAAAGTAAAGGAAAACCGCAGAGCCTCCAGGTGCCAAGACCTGACTAAGCTCCAAATTAACAGGGGAAGATAGAGCTCATGTGGTCCAAGGGAGTGTGAGACGTGCCACAGGTCCAGAGATCAGAGAAGAGGTGTGATGTGGGAGGGACAGGAAATTGCCTATGGGCAGGAGACAGAAAGACAGACAAAGCTAGGTCCCTTACTCAGAAAAAGTCAGAGCCCTGAAAGGGCTGGCCTTCCCATGAAAAGCATCCCAGAACAATTCTACACACAGGTTGAAAGCAGGCTTCTCTCTGCTAGAGGTACTGGGTATGGGAGAAAGCCTCCTGTAAATAACTGAAAACCAGCCTGCAGACACATACACACACCCACATATGTATATATGCATATATATAATCTTTCTCTCGCTCGCTCGCTCTCACCCTCTCTCTCACACACACACACACACACGTATATATGCACATCTTTCTCTTGCTCGCTCTCGCACTCTCACACACACACACACACACACACACGGGGTTCAAATTTACACATGCAAAAAGATATGAGTCTGAAGACTGAAGGAGCACACTGAGTCAAAACTAATTTTTTTTTTACCTACGTTCAAGCATACTGTAGGGTAAACTGTATATAAATAACAATGAATCAGGAACGGCTTTTTAGAAGATATTAGGTCTGACCCAAGTTCCAAAAGACAAACTGTAAGAGGTTGACATGGAATGGAGAGGAGGGTAGTGCTAGATAGCTTTTTAGGCACAAGCAGCAACATAGGAAAAGCCAAAAGAGAACAAGGAACAATTGGGAAGCTGCAAATACAATCCATTCTGCTATAACTCCATAACAGCACTCCTGAAGAAATCTTATATTTTCAATAATGCTGTTAGAAAAACAATCATTGCAATAGGAAAAATTAAAGTGTTAGGGACCAGAAAGTTGACTACTCTAAATAATCAAGAAATTTTTCATACAAAAACTTAGATTTTTAACAATGAACACATATCTTTCATAATTGAAAAAAATTAAAATTGAATTTTAAAATATGGTGTGTATAGTATAAGCTGTTATACAATTGATTAATCAATTATGTACAATTTGAGATCTAAACACTCACTAGGACAAATGACATTAGTTTGGTATGTCTGGGTCATTGGGTATGAAGATGTATGATTTTACATAGAATGTTAAGGAACAGATCACTAAGGACTCATATTTTATACTAAGGAATAGCTTTTTTATTGTGGGAATTTCCACAATGGAAATTCACTGGTTTATGTTAACCCAGAAAATGTCATTATTAATGTCATACTGCCATACTGGTGTATTTAAATACTTAGCAGCGGTATCCCCAACAGCTCATATATACATGTCCTTATCCTTTTGTGATGGGTAACCAAGTATCACTGAATATGGATATTGTTATGAAGTCAATGAAGCATTTTTGAGTACCCACTCTTGACAGTACCACTTCTATTTTGTGTTCAAACACTGAAAGCTGTGATTCTTTTTGCACCGTGTTTCAACACTGATACATGCAAGGAGGTCCTTCAAACCAAGTCATTTCTCAGATGTTCCTGTGGATCTGTCTAAATCCCTGGAGGGTTTTTAGTATCAGTATCTCCCTTGAGAATATACACTTCCATTTATGGGCATAAACACAAAGCATCCTAGGAAAACTAGGGAACCAGTGGGTGGAAGGCCTTAACTAGAGCTGTTCCTATAAAAAGCAAAGATTTTTCCAAAAAGTAATGCTGTTTAACTGTTAGACCTTCACCTACTTTCACTGGCTAGTATCAATACTGTATCTGGCTAACTCACACACTCCATGTCCTTTCTTTCTGGATGTCCACTTGGCTCATCAAATAGCATTCTAATCTTTCCATTACAAACTAGTCAGCTCTTTTGAGCTGTAGCTATACACACAATTAAGCACTGAAATAATGCTTCTGCTGCCAGTAGAGCGTCTCTATGTCTTTACTAACAAGTAGGTGCATTGGGTTTTTATTTAAAAATAAGCACATTCACTTTGAGAAAATTGCAGCTCATTAGAATAATGCCTTAAAACACACACTTAAGAATAGATGTCCAAAATGCCTGGCAAATAATCAGTCCTTGCACAGGCTGTGACTGACACCTAGTGGTGTTCCATAATATCACTCTGTTTTCTAATACTGTATTTTTAGCAATGTAGCTGAGAAATGCTATAAATTTTAATTTTCGTACTTCTATAATTTAGGTAGAGCATGTAAGAGACTAGACAATGAGAAATTAATGGCAGAATTTTTGTTACTTTGTGGGTAACTAAGCTCTAATGTTGGATTATGGAAGTCACACAAACTATACCCTAATCCATAGAATTTACAAGCTATTACGCTTTTTAATGTTTTTAAATTTGAAATCCTGATAAAAGCAATAGTCTTAAAGTGCTTTTCTAATCTATTACTATTATTTCCTTTTTTCACAATTTGAAACAGAAAAGTTTTATCAGATAAACAACATGTACTGAAATACTTCCCACTAAATTACCTAAAAACTGTTTTTCTAAATCAAGCCCAGGATTCTCTTCATTAAATCTCATTTATATTATTATCTAAACAACTTTTCTTTACAATAATGAAAAAGTAAACTTCAACAAGCATAGTTAGTATAAAACTTACCCCAAATTCTGAATCAATGATGCTTTATATAAAACTTACCCCAAATTCTGAATCAATGATGCTTTACCATGTTCTTTTAGACTCCACTTAAATGGGAATGTTTTAAAATTTTGTGTCTTGTAACAAATACTTCAAGTATGTTGCAAACGCCACCACGTTCAGTGCTGTTTTCTGGTGGGCACTGTACAGTACCTACTTCCTTTCCCTCTCTTTCTGAACACCTGCCAGGACTGCACATCTTTCATAAAACTGGCCATGGCTAAGGGCCTTGCTTTGGTCAGTGAAATTAAGCCAAAGTGGAAGCCTTGACAAGACTGAGCTCAAAAGACCTCACCCCTCCCACAGTGACCACCAGATGGTGGACGTTTTGTCAGGCTTCATCACTGAGCAGAGGCCCCAAGCTCTCAGAGGCTAGTACAGTGTAGACAAGAAATATGCATGCTGTTATAAGCCACTGGGACTCGGAGTTTGGCAAAACCTGCTCCATCGTGGCTTCTAACAACACATTTCAAAGTCAAAATTAAATGCATTTGGGTTCTTATAGCAGTTATAAAAGTAAACGAAAGCAGAATGAATTTGGACCACTATCTCATACCATACACAAAGTTAACTCAAAATGGATCAACGACTTAAATTTAAGAGCTAAAAGCATATTTCACAGAAGAAAATGTAAGAGTAAATTTCCATAATCTTAGATTTGGCAATGAATTGATAGACATTACACCAAAAGCATGAGCAACAATAGAAAAAAAACAGATACACAGGCTGGGTGCAGTGGCTCACGCCTGTTATCCCAGCACTTTGGGAGGCCAAGGTGGGTGAATCATTTGAAGTCAGGAGTTCAAGACCAGCCTGACCAACATGGTCGAACTTCATCTCTACTAAAAATACCAAAAAAATTAGCTGGACGTGGTGGCATGCACCAGTAATCCCAGTTCCTCAGGAGGCTGAGGCAGGAGCAGCGCTTGAACTTGGGAGGCAGAGATTGCAGTGAGCCGAGATCATGCCACTGCACTCCAGCCTGGCAACAGAGTGAAACTCCATCTCAAAAAAAAAATAGATAGACTGAATGTCATCAAAATTTAAAAAATGTGTGTGCATTACAGGATATTTTAAGAAAGTAGAACAACAACTTTCAGAATGGGAGAAAATATTTACAAATCATATATCTGGTAAGGGTCTAGCATCCAACTATAAAAAGAATCCTTACAATTCAACAACAAAAATACAACTCAATTAAAAAACAGGCAAAGGATCTGAATAGACATTTCTCCCAAGACAATACGCAAATGGCCAACAAGCACATGAAAAGATGTTCTTTAGCATCAGGGAAATGCAAATCAAAACCACAATGAGATGG